ACACACACACACACACACACACACACACACACACACACATAAGCAGTGTACTGGTACCTATGCAGCGCTCATAAATATTCATGTGCTGTGTTCTTCAGAAGTGCTGACATCCGGTCTTCCAGACTCAAAGTCTTCTGGGATGCGTCCCATATCAGCTGTGCTCTTCTCCCCTGGCTGTGTGGCCTCCGTAGGGAACCTACAGAGGGAGTACAGTGGGAATCGGTGACGGTGTCGGCGGGATCTGAGCTCTTTAACTGCAGTGCGATAATAAATCAAACTCCCTGTCACCGGCGCTTAACAGAAAATACACAATAGATGCGTGAAGCGGGTTTTGTAGGGTTATTAACAGTGCAGGAAGTAGTTTGTGGCTTTTCAGTAAAAGATACTATTCTTTTTAAGGTAATTAATTGCACCACGAGATATTAACAAGGAGTAGCTACCTACTGAGCAAAGGTTCATTATCAGTGTGAATAGCTCCATGGCGTTTCTATTTATTTGTGTTTGTTTGATGGTTGGTTGCTTGACTGTTTGATGAGTCCCTAGAACAATAAATAAATAATTTTAAATATATATTAATATATTTGAAATTCTAAATGTAAAAATTATAATAATAATTAAAATTGTAATTGAATTTAATTAATTTAATTAAATATTTACTTATAATGAATAATATTTATTTATGTCTGGGTACCTTGAACAATATATAAATCAAACATAAAATTAAAAATTATCACATTTTATTAAAAAATTTTTTTTATAAATCATAAAATTATCATTTTAAACGTAAAAAAAATGTATTAATTTATGTCTGGGTCTCTAGAACAATACATAAATAAATTAATAATTAATTTAAAAAATCTAAATAATAATTTTAATAATGATTTATTTAGTGATGTATAAATAAATACTATAAATATATAATTGTTACATATATTTAAAATTACAATATTTTTTTAAATGTTATTTATAAATATTTAAAAACATATATGTAGTTTTGATTGATTGATTGATTGATTGATTGATTGATTGATTGATTGATTGATTGATTGATTGATTGATTGATTGATTGATTGATTGATTGATTGATTGATTGATTGATTGATTGATTGATTGATTGATTGATTGATTGATTGATTGATTGATTGATTGATTGATTGATTGATTGATTGATTGATTGATTGATTGATTGATTGATTGATTGATTGATTGATTGATTGATTGATTGATTGATTGATTGATTGAATGATTGATTGATTGATTAACTGGGCCCCTAAAACAAACAATCAATCAATCAAACAATCAATTCACTTTGGCATATATAATAAAAAACTTGATATATGTCACCATCAAACCCTCGGGGACATGAGCAGTTTGGCAGTTTTGGCAAAGCACCATCTACTGAATAAGAAATCATGCAGCAAAAAAAAAAAAACTAGTTCTAACTTAGTAAATTCTTCACTGATAATTCAGACGTCCGCGGTCATGTCGAGTACAATGACACCCATCTTACCAAAGTCAGCTATCTGAAATTTTATTGAAAACTTGCCTTTTTAAACTCCTACATCTTTCATCATCTTCGGCTCAGATATTCTTGACACCATGCCAATAAAAAGATACTAACATGTTGATAGGCTTTTGATACAGCAGACCGTGTGTAACACATCAACACAACTGACAATGAGGAGAAGCTGAAGTTTGGTGATGCTTTTGCTTATTCAGATGAAACCATTCGGGTGGAATCACATCCTGCACCCAAAATAATTGTCTCAATTAATATTTTCATAGTTTTCCAGTGAAAATATGTAAACGGTCTCCTAAAACCAGATGAATTTACCTGAGAAGCAAACTCAAGCAAATTTGAAGTAACTGTGTAAAATATTAAGACTTGTTTTCAGAAAATATATCTTGAAGCAAGTTTTCTTTATTTGTTTGTTTGCAAAAGATACTATTCTTTTTAAGGTAATTAATTGCACCACGAGATATTAACAAGGAGTAGCTACCTACTGAGCAAAGGTTCATTATCAGTGTGAATAGCTCCATGGCGTTTCTATTTATTTGTGTTTGTTTGATGGTTGGTTGCTTGACTGTTTGATGAGTCCCTAGAACAATAAATAAATAATTTTAAATATATATTAATATATTTGAAATTCTAAATGTAAAAATTATAATAATAATTAAAATTGTAATTGAATTTAATTAATTTAATTAAATATTTACTTATAATGAATAATATTTATTTATGTCTGGGTACCTTGAACAATATATAAATCAAACATAAAATTAAAAATTATCACATTTTATTAAAAAATTTTTTTTATAAATCATAAAATTATCATTTTAAACGTAAAAAAAATGTATTAATTTATGTCTGGGTCTCTAGAACAATACATAAATAAATTAATAATTAATTTAAAAAATCTAAATAATAATTTTAATAATGATTTATTTAGTGATGTATAAATAAATACTATAAATATATAATTGTTACATATATTTAAAATTACAATATTTTTTTAAATGTTATTTATAAATATTTAAAAACATATATGTAGTTTTGATTGATTGATTGATTGATTGATTGATTGATTGATTGAATGATTGATTGATTGATTAACTGGGCCCCTAAAACAAACAATCAACATAATTCCTTTGTGTTTGTGATTTTTATTAGTTTTTTTTAATGTCTATAATGTTTTCCATTTTTTTTTGTTATTTTAGTACATCAAGAATAAGTACATGAAAATGAGAAATGTTCATTATTTTCTGAAATATATATACAGTATTTTTTATTTTATATTTTATTTATTTTATTTCAAGTATTTATTGATTGATTGATTGATTGATTGATTGATTGATTGATTGATTGAATGATTGATTGATTGATTAACTGGGCCCCTAAAACAAACAATCAATCAATCAAACAATCAATTCACTTTGGCATATATAATAAAAAACTTGATATATGTCACCATCAAACCCTCGGGGACATGAGCAGTTTGGCAGTTTTGGCAAAGCACCATCTACTGAATAAGAAATCATGCAGCAAAAAAAAAAAAACTAGTTCTAACTTAGTAAATTCTTCACTGATAATTCAGACGTCCGCGGTCATGTCGAGTACAATGACACCCATCTTACCAAAGTCAGCTATCTGAAATTTTATTGAAAACTTGCCTTTTTAAACTCCTACATCTTTCATCATCTTCGGCTCAGATATTCTTGACACCATGCCAATAAAAAGATACTAACATGTTGATAGGCTTTTGATACAGCAGACCGTGTGTAACACATCAACACAACTGACAATGAGGAGAAGCTGAAGTTTGGTGATGCTTTTGCTTATTCAGATGAAACCATTCGGGTGGAATCACATCCTGCACCCAAAATAATTGTCTCAATTAATATTTTCATAGTTTTCCAGTGAAAATATGTAAACGGTCTCCTAAAACCAGATGAATTTACCTGAGAAGCAAACTCAAGCAAATTTGAAGTAACTGTGTAAAATATTAAGACTTGTTTTCAGAAAATATATCTTGAAGCAAGTTTTCTTTATTTGTTTGTTTTTACCTAACAGCAATTTGTATGTTGTTGTTTACTCATGCATTAACCCAAATGTGTAAAGTTTAGGCTTATTGGCCAAAAAAATAATAAGTAGAGAAAAGTAAAAGTAAAAAAAATAAATAAATGAATAAATATATATATATGTATGTATGTATGTATGTATGTATGTATGTATGAAAAAATTAACACTAATGATTGTTTTAAGCATAAACCTCTTAAACTTTCTTAAACTTATGGTTGTCAGTAGGGTAAGAAAAATTCCAATTCTAAAACTAATTCAAAATATATGCTCACTGGAAAATTATTATTATTATTTTCTTATTATCTTGCACAGTTTTGCTTCTAAAGCAAATTTATTTAGTTTTAGGGATACTTTTACTGAAAATGTTCAATAATTTTGTGTGTTTGTTCATTTGTTTTTTTGTTTATTTAATCTATATAGTTTATTTTATGTATATAGTTAATTGATCTATATAGTTTTCATTAATTTTTATTTCAGTTTTAGTTTATTTTAATGTTTGCCTTGGCAACTAACTGAAATAAAACAAGTCTACACCATTTCATATTTTATTTTAAGTTAACATCCATTTTATTTCAAGTTACAAAAATATTTTTGATGGTTTTAGTGTTGATGAATGATAATTACCCTGGTCTTGTCATTACATTTGCATTGTTTACCACAGTTTCATTTTGTTAAGCATAAATAACAGTACATTTTCTTAAATGTATGCTTGCCAGTGGGGTAGGAAATATAGACATAATTCAAAATACACATTCACTGAAAAACAAATCTTATCTTGTACCATTTTGCTTCTCAAGTAAATTTAGTTTTAACAATGTTTAGACATTTTTACTGATAAAAAATATGATTTTTGCTCTTCTTTTCACTGCTTTTTCCATACTGTGCATCTGGGAAGATCGTGTGTTTGGACACGGGATGTTTTAAATGGCTGACTGCATGTATTTATTAGTTCATGAGAGGGTGAAATAGCACAAGTGTGTGTGTCATAAAGATTTAATGAGAGAGCGTTCAGTGTGTGTGACTCTAATGCAGAACATCATGCATGATTCATGATCTTTAAAGCCTCTTATTTCATATTTTTCAATTATCTGAGCAGGTTTGTGAGGTTGCAGAACAGCATCCATCAATGTCCACGTAACGAGAGCGGTTGTGTGCGTCTTTCAGATCGCCTGCGCCGTCTTCGCAGCTCTGCTGCATTTCTTCTTCCTGTCTGCGTTCACGTGGATGTTTCTGGAAGGAGTTCAGCTCTACATCATGCTGGTGGAGGTGTTTGAGAGCGAGCATTCACGCAGGAGGTATTTCTACCTGGCCGGATACG